GGGTCATGGGTCAGAGCTGCAGGGGTGTGTCCTGATTTTTGCATGTTAACCTTGTATCCTGCCATTTTGCTGAATTGGTGAGTTATGACCAATAATTTTCTTACTGAATCTTCAGGGTTTTCTAAGTATACTATCATGTTATCTGCATATAACGATAATTTTTCCTCTTCTTTGCCAATTTGGATAAATCTTATTTCCTTCTCTTGTCTTATTGCTATTCCTGGAGGGACAGCGTAAGAGAGGAAGACCCTGGATGAGATGGATCGATTCAGTGGTTGAGGTAATGGGAGTAGGTGTGTCAGAGACAGTGAGGTTGGCACAGGATAGAACAGGCTTTAGGGCTCTTGTACATAGGGTCACAGACAACTCGCCTGCACATAACAACAACAACAATAAGGCTTTCAATACAATATTGAATAGAAGAGGTAATAATAGGCATCCTTGCCTAGTTCCTGTTCTCAGAGGGAATGCCTTTACTTTCCCTCCATTGAGAACAAAGTTTGCTCCTGCATCAATTGATAGGATCATGTAGTTCTTGTTCTTTGCTTTGTTAATGTGATGAATTACATAAATTGTTTTCCTTATGTTGAACCATCCTTGCATACCTTTTTATGAATTCCACCTGGTCATGGTGAATTATATTTTTGATCTATCTTGGATTCTATTGGCGAGGATTTTGTTCGGTATTTTTGCATCAATGTTCATGAGAGATATGACCTATAGTTTTCTATTTTGGTAATGTATTTACCTAGCTTTGATATCAAGGATATGTTTGCTTCATAGAATGAGTCTGAAGAATTCCATCTTTTTCTATTTTCTGAAATAGTTTATGTATGATTAAGCGACAGTTCTTCTCTAAATTTTTTATAAAATTCACTTGTAAAACCATCTGGTCCAGGGCCCTAGTGCTTTTCTTGACTGGAAGTTGATTTATTACCTTTTCAATTTCTTCTTTTGAAATTAGTCTGTTCAGGTGTTCAGTTTTGGTTTGTGTCAGTTTAGGTAGGTTGTGAATTTCTAAGTATTTGTCCATTTCCTCTAGATTTTCATATTTGTTTGAATATAGTTTTTCCATAATATTCCATTGTTAGCCTTTTTATTTTAGTTAGTTCTGTTGTGACATTGCCCTTTTCACTTTTTCATTGGATTATTTGTGTCTTTGCCTTCTTTTCCTTTGCTAGTTTTGCTAATGGTTTGTCTGTTTTGTTGACCTATAAATCTAAGGCCTTTTCCATTAATGTCTAAGCATTTTCATCAAGTTAAATGCAAAGGGTATAATTTCAGTATATTATACAAACTGACTTTCAAAAAGTATAGCATCTTTCTGAATCCACTGATTGTAAATGCATGTCTGTCTGATGCCTATCTCATTCATAAAAAATTTTGGAAAATTTTTCTTTAATAGTAAAAATTTTGCATTGTTATTTTATCTCCTTATACTTTTATTCTGTTTCTTCCAAAGAATTATATACTAATGAAATGCATTTCTTTTTTTAGTCTCTGGGTAGTACAAATGGTTAATGTGCTTGACTGCTAACTGTAATGTTGGTAATGTGAATCACGCAGAGGTGGTGCAGAAGGCCTGGCAGTCTACTTAAAAACCACCAGCCATGGGAAACACTGTGGAGCATGGTACTCTGACACACTTGGTGTCACCATGAGTCAGAATCGACTTGAGGCAATTGTTGACTTTTTTGGGGGGGGGTGTTTTGTTTTTTTTATTTTTGGAAGATCCCAAACTCCCTAAAAATTGAACACACATCCTTAACTGTTGACTTAAAAAAATACATTATTGGAGCTCTGGTGGCCTACTGGCAAGAAGCTGCGCTGCAATCCCAAAGGCTTTTAGTTTTAATTCACCAGATGCTCCGTTGGAGAAAGAGGAGCAATCTCCTCCTGTACTAATTGGATCTGCTTTGACGGTACACACTCACACACAAAATAATAATAAATTTTAAAAAAATACATTATTATGGTTGAAAATCTTAATCATTTGATAAAAGTATATAAATATGTATATTTAAATATGGAACAAGTACACCTTAAAATAAGAACATGTGTTACTTTTCTGTGAACAGTAGGCTGTAAAGATTTTTTAAAAATCCTGAATTGAGTTCTTACCAGTAGTGCAATGATTTTTTTCTTTTAATTATCATTTCAGCAGTGTATGAAAAATGTGTTCCACATTTTGATAAATAGTAGCTGTTGTGGTTGTGTGCTGCTGTTGGGCAGCCCCTCATGTGTTACAGGGTGTCGCCATAGAATTTACTTGATGGGAAGCATGTTACCAGGCTTTTCTTCCAAGGAGCTGATGATCAATTCAAACCACCAGGTTTTAGATTAGCCTTTTGCAAGCCGCTTGCATCACACTCAGGTCCTTAAAATTATTATTACGATTTTATTCTTCACTTTAGGAGTTGCCTCGCAAGCTAGCATCTCGATGGCAGTCTCTGGATGGCAGTCACGTAAGGGAAGTTTCTGGGGTCATATTTATTGTGTGTTACTGTTCTTTCCCACCCTCAGAAGTGGGTGGCTGAGGTTCTCCTAACCATTCTGCATGTCCCACGTCTGTAAACCCACCCTATTCTGTTTTCCTGTTTACATGCTTGTAATATACGTTCACTGCAGTCCCCAATAAAATTGAGCTAGATTGACTCTGATCCTCTCCCGGAGTGGGGTGTCTCCATTGTGCTTGCCCTCATCAGGGTGTCACTATTGGTTGCCTGCGAACGAACAACAGCATGACGGCCGAACAGGGATGAACCTGACGTAGTAGTATCGGGTGAGTACCCTCTGTGCTCACTCCCGTCAGGGTTTCTGATGAGTATTCTCTGCACTCACTGTCATCAGGGATCGAATGAGCACCCCTATCCGTGCTCACTCCCGTCAGGGATTGGGTGAGCACCCCTTTCAGTGCTTACTCCCATCAGGGAATAAGGACCTGACTTAGTTTTGGGGACCTGATGTAGTCTTGGGGACCTGACAAAGGCTTAAACTTGATATAGGTGGAAGGGAAGTGACCTGGTAGGTCTACCTTATTGGGTAAGCACCTCTTGCTTAGGTAAAAAGCAAGGGAAAATTCTTTCTTCTTTCTTTTTTCTTTTTTCTGCACTTGCCCCTGTCAGGGAGCAGAGAACCTGACCTAGGTATCAGGCCAGTGCTCCCTTGCTTTAGCAAGGGGAATTCGACAAGCAATTTGATTTGGAAAGCAATTTGAAAGATCCTCAAGTAAAGTGTTTTTTTGTCTTTGTTAGAAAGTTGTTTATATCGCCCCTTGAATTACTGCTGTTCACATCTTTAATGTGCTGACTTGGAGCCCTTCAGAATAGTGAGACAAGATTTTCAACCTTGGAACCTACAATGCCCTTTTCTCTTTTTTTTTTTTGTTTTTGTTGGTTACACTTTATTAAATCAGATGGGTTTGGGGGGACAGTGGGGCGCACTCAGTCCTTCTTGGCAGCCGCCTTCCTCATGGCAGCCAGGATGTTGCTGAGTTTTTTTCGCTTCCTCTTGGCGCGGATGTGTGTCCCCACTCTTTTCTTGATGAACTTGAGGGCCCACTTGTCCTTGGAAACCTGGAGCAGCTCCATGGCACGTTGCTCATAGGGCGCAAAGCCACACACCTCCCGGACCATGTCCCGCAGAAACTTGGTGTGCTTGGTCAGGCACCCGCGGCGGCGGCTGTGCCTCGGCTTGCTCACGTTTTTAGTGAATTTGAGGCCCACGGCCATAGGGTAGCCATGGCTGCTGCACGTTTATGGCTGCCGCGGCGGAAGGCTACAATGCCTTTTTCCAGCAGGAAGTAGCTAAGTGGATGTGGCGCCCCCTTTCCTACTGAAATAGGGTGAAATCTCCCTGGGGGGCGGGGGGAATGACAGGGAATGACAGCAAAGGATATGCTGACAAAGGTGATCAATCAGAACTGGTTTTGACAAAGACTGTGGCACCAATAGAAGAAATGCACCATCAGCTGTTTGTTATGGCAGGAAATCTAAAAAAGCCCCAAAGAATTTATAGACGATTGCACCACCTCTTCTCTAGTTTCCTGAGAAGTAAGGAAAACAAAGCAAGTGGAGACAATATAGAGAAAATCAGTGAAGAAACGGGAAATTCTTAGGCAGAGGTGTTGTGTGATCAGTAAGATGCTGAGTGGAACTCTGACGTAACTGTGTGCTCTGTTGGTGTGCGCCCAACACCTGAATGTCCTTTACACAAGGTATTGTGTGATCAGTGTGATGCTAGCTCTGAGGCACATGTTTCTTTTTGGTGTATATCCCACACCTGAACATCCTTTACAGTGATATCCGTGTGCTGGGAGAGAGTTAAAAGAACTCAGGACAACTGTTAGAGATGATGGAGCTCCTTCTCTGTGGGCGAAGGCACAGCTTGCTGTATTAAGCCTTAAACACTCCTCAAGATTGGAAAGATATGATGGGGGCAGTTTTTATTAAAACCTCCCATATGGGTTCACTGGCAATCAGATACACTTCCTAGTGAGCAACCAATGTGGATCACGTGGCAGGATCCATTAGACTAAGTATGGAAAGGGCCCGATCCTTTACTTTACATTGGGAGAGGTTTTGCTTGTATTTTCCCACAGAACAAACCACATCCTGTGTGGATTCCTGCTCATCATGTCCGATTCCAATCTGCCTACCGAGAAGATGCATTAATTGAGCATCCACAACAAGAAGATGAAACAGAGGAAAAGAAAGTTAAAACCCCGATGCCACAGACACCTATGGCCTGGGACATGCAGAAGGCACTCAACTAACAGACTCTAGACCTTAACCCTAGGAGTGGTATACCCAGTGGTCCGTTTATGACACTGCTTATCACTGTTTTGATCATCAATAGTGCCACAGTAGGAGAAGCTAATCAGGTTTTGTAAGCTTTCGTTTCTTCACCTGCATTTCCTATGTGTACGTGGCTCTCCTCGCTAGCTATATTCATCTCCCAATCCAATCCAGAAATCAAGGTATGGTAATTCTAACCTTTTCTATTATCTCCCCAGTTGTCATTACAAGAGCAGCCATAGACCTCTACACAAGATAGAATGCTCAAGCAGCTGCACTGAATAATCTTTCTACCCTTACAGTCATTGGATCCTCATCCTCCCAAGAAACACCAGAGGCTCTACACCTCTTTGAATTAATTTAAAAGAAAAGGGGAGGATATGTTGGGGAATGTTGGGAAATGTTGGGGAGGAAGGGATGGCCTCTGGCCAGGACAGATTGCCCAAGTTCTGGATAAGTGCAAGCCTCCCAACGGCCTTTAATACGGGGTGGAGAAAGCTCCTCTGTGTTTGGCTGAACTGGCTTGAGAAAGCTCACCACCTGGGAAGTTGGCTGTTACACCCCTTGAGCTGGGTGTAATCCACACGAGGCTGAGGTTCTAACCAATCTGCATGTCCCATATCTGTAAGCCCACCCTATCCTATCTTCCTGTTTACATGCTTGTATATAAATGCACTGCAGTCCCCAGTAAAATTGACTGATCCTCTCCCGGAGAGAGGTGTCTCCGTCGTGCTTGCCCCCATCAGGGTGTCACTGTTGGTTGCTGGTGAACGGACAGCGACACCTGGTTTTTTCTAGTTGCCATTTGCTTGGGTTTGTGTTTTTTTTTCCCCGACCCTTTTATTTTTAGTCTTTCTTTATCTTCACTTTTTAGATGTGTTTCTTATAGAGAGCATATTGATGGGGTTTGTTTGTTTTGGGGTTTTTTTAGCCAATCTACTACTCTTTTTCTCTTCAGTGATTTAAAAATTTACATTCAGTGTGATTATTGAGAGGAAAAGTTTTATTGCTATCATTTTGTTGAGTTCTTTTTAGTGTTGTTGCTAGTTACTTTGGTCCATCCTGCTTTCTGTGGCACCTCTGTAAGAAGGACATCTCTCAGGTTTCCTGCAATGCTGGTCTTGTTTTTACAAAGTCCCATAGGTTCTGTTTTTCTGGGAATATCTTTATTTCTCCTTCATAGATGATGGACAGCTTTGCTGGGTACAATATTCCTGGCTGACAGTTGTGTTCTTCAAGTGTTTGATATGTATCATTCCAGTGTGTTCTTGATCACATGGTTTCTGCTGAGAAATCGGCATTTAATCTTATCTGCTTTCCTTTATAGGTTACTCTTTATTTCTTCCTCGCTGCTTTCAGAATTCTCTATCTTTGCTTCTAGAAAATTTGATTATGATATGCCTTGGTCTTTTCTTTTGGTGTCTATTCTATGTGGTGTTCTCTCAGTTTCTTGAATATATATTCTCTCATTTTTTTAATTAATTTTAATGAACATTTACAGAGATTTTGGATTTCCATTCATTCATTGTTGCACTATTTTCTCTACCGCCCCCAGTTCGTTCCTCTTTTTTTTCCCCTTGAAAGTCTGTTTTAATTGTCCCATTGTCAAAATCAGTTCTGATTAATCTCCTTTGTCAGTGTGTCCTTTGCCGTTCCCTATCACTCCTCTCTAAAGAGAGATTTCACCCTGATTCATAAGAAAAAGGGATGGCATATTCTCTTAGCTACTTCCTGCTGAAAAGAGTGCTGTTGGTTTCAGGGTGAAGATCTTCTCTCACTACTCTAAAGGGTCCTGTTGGCAATAGGAAACATAAAGATTATTCTGGAGATGGATTTTGGAATTTAGATGCACTGTTATCAATTGTGCTTAGCCAAACATGTTCATATCCTTGAAGATGCATCATGGAACTGTTGTAGCCTAGAAGACACAAATTTAACTAACAAGTTAAAAGTACATGAGTCAAAAATTAAAAGCAATAATATTCCAAGTAGAGGTTCTAACAGTGGCAAAAATCAAGTTATCGAGGGAAGGTAGTTCTTAAAATAAAAGTCTTATTGACTAGTACTTTGTCTATCATAGTATAAACATTAGGAACCACAAGATGTAGAGG